AATATCTGCTTTGCTTCTGGGATTAAAGGAGAATAATGACAGACATCAACTTCCAGCTCCAAACTAATAAAACACATTTTATTTCCATGTGTTGAAGCCATCACAGTGAACCAGAGCAAGTTGACCAAAACATTTCCCAGCAGCCACTTCTCCCACAGCAGAGTCCAAACAGTGCTTCCTGTTCTCTACAGTTAGGTGTCTTATTGGAAATGGTCTCAGTAGATGACAGGATCTGTCTCGTCTCTATCCTTTCTATTGGCCTCCATTTCTCCTCCTGTTTCCTCCCCTTTCTCTCTCTCCCTCTTTCTCTGCCTACATCAGCGGTCGCCATTAGAACAATAATATCTGGCCCGTGACATAATCACTTCCTGTTAAGGGATTGGACCTACAAAATAAATTCCTCTACTTGGAGATGCTGGAGAAATGAAAATAACCATCTATAGGTTGATGGATGTGTCCAATCACCAGGACGCACACCCTGCAGCACATGTGAAATTGTGAGATTGTGAAACAGTTTCTTCATAATTATTTAAAGAGAGAGAGAAAATATATTTGAACACAACCATCCAATCGAGGGGCCTGTTGACTACTGACTACTGGTTTAAATTATTATTTGACTTTGTTCTGGCTCATCATCTAATGGAATAAAAACTGATGGACTGCTGTCAATTATGCAACAACACACAGAGGCCAAAAGCTTGTCTATGAACCCTTTCCTCATGAACACATACAGGAACAAGTCTGCAAGAGGATTCAACCTAACAAAGATGAAAAACAAGATGGCGAGGTTCTCATGGTGTTTTAAATTCACAAAATGAAGTATGATAGGCAGGAACGGCAGGTGAGAGCAAAGATGATTGACAGCAGGACAATGAAGTGGTATTCTATTCTATTCCACACTGGCAGCAGCGGCTCTGTCTATGCCGATCCTTTTCTGTAGCACTTTGTTTATATTCTTTGCAAACTATGCTTCCAAATCTGAGAATTCAATGAATGCAAGCCTGCTGCCAGATAATAGGCCTGCTAGCTTCCAACATCTGCTGGATAGCCACCTGCCTGCGCCTTGCACCTAGCATCCGTTTTTGGGGAACTTGCCTGGATATGTTCACAGGAACCCTTGGGGCTAGTGGTCGGTGGTGGTTGATGTGGCACGCGGCATCCTGCGCAGCCTCAACCTCTTGTCATTCTGGAGCCTCCACTCCACATTTCCACTGTGTCTTTGTTCCCCAGCTCAGGTGAGTCTTGCCCGGCTCTTTGTCCACATCGCAGACGACCTCTTCAACCTTGCTACAGTTCAGTACTGCAAAGGTCTCACTGCCCTGGACCTCAGGGATGGAGCCACCCTGCGTCACTGTGAAAGAGCTGTTGGATGTCACAAAAGCTGAGCTAGCTAACCTCTGTGTTCCCTGTTCCTCCTGGGAGTCAGTTGGCTAGTTTCCTAGAAACTGAGCTGATTATCAACACTGAGACTGTGTTGCCTGGAGCTGCAGAGGTGGCTTCTGATAGCATCCAGTTACATCCAGTCAGTGGTCCGACCGACACCTGCTCCTGGTTCCTTGTTTCCTGTTCAGCTTCCTGAGGTCACTGTTCACCAGCACCGCAGTCCCATCTCTGGTTCCCAGTTCCACTGTCCCGACAGGGTCTCCAGTTTGTCTGTCCAGTTGCCTGCCCAGTCGTTGGTAGCTAGTAGTTGGTCGCTGTCCGGTCACAAGTCCTTTGCCTGGCAGTCCCATCACTGGTCCACAGCTTTGCAGCCTTGTTTCTGGTTCCCTGTTCTACTGCTTCACTGCTGGCCTTCAGAGGCCGCCAGCTTCCTGCCTGGTCTCTATCGGGTCTCCGTCCTCGTTACGGCCTTCAGATGGGTTCCGGCCCGATAGCCAGCATCCTACCCGACCTCTGGAGAAGTCTCGCCCTCAATGCCAGCCTCCAGAGGTATCCAGTCCTTGTCCCAGGCCTCTGGCCTGCCCTGCTGAGGGTTTCTGCCCTTGCTTTTGGCCTCCTGGTCGACCCCATAACCTGGCCGTCCCTCCTTCTCATGCCTGACAACATTCAGGTCATCCACCACAACTGTCGAGCTCCTCTGTCCTGCCTTCAGGTTTTTCTGCCCCAGCACTGGGTTGCACCGACTATGTGTAAGTTCAAACTTAGCCTAGTTTGAACGTAATTTCTAACTTTATGTGCTACTAACGTTTTAAGGGTTGCACCAGCTGAAATATGTCCAACGTAGACATAAGTTACAACTTAAATCTTACACCTAGCCCTTAATAGGTGTAAAGTCCTCCATAAAAAAAGTTGAGCGGTTGTCATGGCGCATCGTTTTGAAAAGTGGGATAACTTGAGGAGGAGCAAATTATGCAGGCTGTTTTGCGTAAGCAACGCGTTCTCAGTGATAGATTACACCCTTTGGACATTTATGATGATATTGATTTGTACTCACACTTTGGTTTTCCATGCACAGAGATACTGAGGATTACCGACCTGCTGGCAGTTGACTTGCAACACGACACGGACAGAAACGGTGCCCTCAGTCCTTCCCTACAAGTGTGTCTGGGACTGAGATATTTTGCTACAGGATTTCATTTCAAAACTTGGTTGGTGATTCAAATCAAGTGCATAAATCTACTGTGTGTAGAACAATAAGAGCAGTTTCACTATCACTATGTCAGCACTTTAATGACGTTAAAAAAAAAAGTTTCCAACTCAACCTGAGCAACAAAATATGACCTGTCAGAAGCTCTACCAGATTTCCCCGACATACTTGGCTGCATAGATGGCACGCACATCAGAATCAAGGGACCCAAAATACATGAGAATGACTCTGTAAACAGGAAGGGATACCACTCAATCAACTCTCAGATTGTATGTGATGCCGACCTTGTTATTACCAATGCTGTAATCAAATGGCCTGGGGCAAAGCATGACAGCTTCATCCTCAAGCAGTCTAGCCTTTGGAGAGACTTTGAGGCAGCAAGTTACCCCGGGAGGTTTCTTGGAGACTCAGGGTATCCACTGAGAAAATGGCTCATGACCCCATACCTAAACCCAACAAGTGTCAGTGAGCAGCGCTACAATTCAGTGTTACAATAAGTAACATGCACAATGACAGACAGGTAGCCTTTCCCTAGCCTATTCTGTGCCCGCAGCTAATATCTGTCTTACTTTGGTCATATAGGCGTCCTAATGGAGCCTGACAGAGCTGAATGAATTTGGAACTCGGAATGTGTTTATTTTTCATTCTTTATCTCTGCATGTTTAGACCAAATTCAATAATAGTAAAATAGATTAGTTATTCCTTACATTTTTTCGCTGTCTAAAATAGCCTAATAGTGACAGTGTGACAGAGGAGTTGACTGTTTGCTATGGCTCATGTGAAAGTGTGATGGTGTATCCCTGTGCTTTAAGATCTTCTTATTAATATTTTAATGTTTAACTTCTTTTTCTGCTTTAAACTTTAGTGTTTTCTGTGCGAGCTTCTCAATTTCAGCTGTATATAGTTGACATCTCAGTGTGTTCACATCCTCTTCTGTGCCAGGAGCAGGAAGCCTTCTGCTGCCTTTAGCGCGCTTAGCTGGTGGTGGATGGCTGCTGGACTGAGACGACTGTGTAGGTTGATTTTTGGTCACATCTGATCCAGTAAAGGTGGGCTCTGGCGGTTGGAGGGATGCTGGTTCAAGCAGACATGCTTCTGCAGATGGGGGGAGAAGTTGTTCAGCTGTATGAGAGGGGGCTGGTGCTGCTGCTGGTGGGAGAGATGTAACTGAAACCAGCGCTGACGCTTCGTTTGCTGGTCCACTCTCAACCCCACCGAAAATGCCAATCAATGAGGGGGAGTCCTCTCCCACAACTAACACTAGCGCTGAGTATGGCCCCATGTCTGGCTTTGGTCCACCTCCTGTTGGGACATTTCGTGGAAAGTCCCAAAGGCTTGCATTTTTAGGTCGCTCAGCTTCTTCCTCACATCTTTTACCTCCCTGTGCTCCACACCATTTGCATTTATGGTGTCCGTTATATCCTCCCATATTTGTTGTTTCCGTTTATTTGTTACAAAGTTGTTAAATTTCGATTCCAATGACTCTTTGTTTTGTTTATATTTTGATAGCAGGATCATGATTTCTTCATGTGTAAAGTTTTTTTTTCTTGCTCTACGGTCAGAAATGGTCAAATCCCTGAAACAGTACACCAACATTAACTTAATGTCAGCATATCATTACAGTAGCTAGGCTAACTAAACTTGACATTAGACACTAACATTATAGTGTTGGCAAGCAAATATATTGGGTCACATAACTCTATAACTAACAACTAGGTCTACTAATTTATAACAGTTTGCTTGTGTCGTTTATTGTTATGTGTTCGTTATAATGTTACAATTTCATCTGTCCGTTGTAGGCTATGTTACGGTTCGTTCGGTATAGGTACCCTTATATTACGCCTATGTTGTAGTAAACGGTTTTACCACTTGATGTCACTGTTGGACTAGCTGTATATTAAGGTTTCAGAGTTATCACCTAATCATAATCCTTTGTCCTTGTTTACGTACCTTTTTGTTGGTGTTTGGTGATTAACAGCTATTTTAGCCGTTAGCCTCTTCAGTATTGGAAAAAGTTGAAAGAGAGAGAGACAAACGGGCGACACTGTTTTGATTAGTATGGACTTTACGGCAGAGTAGCTAAGATGAACCTTATGTCTCGGTGGTGCAACCAAACATCGACACAACTTAAGTCTCAAACTAACTATTTTCAACGTATTGTTCAGTGTGGACTTAAGGTAGAACTTACGTATTGCTGGTGCAACAGGCTGCTGGATTTTGAATGATTGATGAATTGATTCAGAATCATCCAAGTCTGCATCGTGATGCATCTAAGAATGAATTATTTTCCAGACCCCTACCTGTCAACTAGCCCCCAAACCAGATCCAGATCCTTTACAGACAGACAGACTGTAGGACAAACACACCACACAGACAGGAAATAAATAACTCTCAGTCAGAATGTACATACCATAGAATAAAGAGAATAGATGGCCACCAGGGTCAGAGGAAGGCCGACAGCAAGGACTATGCATGTCACTACGTATTGGATGAGACGAAATTTTTTGAGATACTCATAGTGCTCATTGTTATTCTGGTAGTTGAAGGTGGTGTTGCTGTGATCGTAGCTTTGGTCCTGTGAGCTGCTGGTAATGTTGAGACCTTCCATTCTTCAGAGTGAAACCTGTTTGAGAGATCAGGTTATTAAAGGGAGCAGGTTTTTAATATCTACCTAACATTGTTCAGTGACATCACTAAAGCTGTGAGGTGAAGTTCACACAAACACAGTGTACCTATAGTTTACCCACAATCATATCAAATCACAAACTGCTGTCTTTCACTTTCTATCATCATTCCTCAACATTTGTTACATTTAACTTTTATTTAATCAAATAAGAAAAGAAGAACAAATATCTGTACGTGCTGATGTGAGGTCGTTACTGCAGCCACAGAACATCGTCCAGCTGTTTCAGTAACTTAATGTTTAATGTTAATGCTCTTTGGTTTAGGACATCCTGCCTGTCTCCTGTACTCGATGCCCCTCTGAGTTTGGATCAGGAGGTTTACATGATGATTAATCCACTTGACAGGGGACAGACTGTGCACTCTTCCTTGTTGGTGTTTGTTCTGACATTATTTCTGGAACAAACACTTGATGCATATTGTTGGGATCACAGGGACCTCACAGATGAAGTCACTCAGCTCTCAGCTACGATTGGCCGGTGACCTGTGACCTATGATGTCACCTCATTAATAAAAACTACAACGCGGCGTCGGTGAAGCCGCCAACCTGACGGCGCAGCGGCCTCCCAGCGTGGCCCGCTTGGAGCAGAACATAAAGTCCCGCTATAGATCCCTGCCACCAGCTGAGTTAGCCAAGCTGCTAACTCTGAGGAGAACAGACGAAGGGCCAGACCCTCTCATCTGGACGATCTAATTAATTAATTAAGGTAAAATACTTTTTCATAATGTTATAATATCATCAAACTTTATCATACTAGGATCAAACTATTTCTTTAACATTAAAGCAGGTTAATCACATCAAACTACTTAAACTAAATAATTATAAACCAGTTAAGAGTGTTCAGAACAGGAGGAAATCTGAGGTTTTTGCTCACAGGGATTTCTTCTAAATACTTTAACCTGGTTTTTTTTTAAGCTTTGGCCATGTTTAACATGAACATCCAACATTATAACATTGTAGATAAGTCATAAAATGTGGAAGCATAAGCAGTCTCCTTTACATTATATTACATTTACAACATTATATTTGTCACATGTTAATACATTTCACAAATTTTATAGAACTGATTTCATCACAACCAACAAACCCTATCTCTGCTGGCAGGAGTCTCACTTCCTGTTAGTCTTCCATGGAAGGTTCCTGGTTAGGCCACAAACTGCTGTGTGTCAGACTTTCCATCATTCGTCATCTATTCTTCTAAATAGGGAACATCCTCTTCTTTTCTTAAGCTTTACTCCAGGACAAGGCTCAGTCCCCCCTGCACAGGGCAGCAGCCTGCTTTTGCTGCTTTGTTACTCAGTTTCAAGACACCTCTAATATCTCAGAGACACTTTAGCTTCTTGTAGTTTAACTCAATAAAAAAACATGGCACCATCTACCAGCCAGTTACTGGTAAAATATGCAAATGTCTGCTAGATTTACTTCATCAGCAGCTAAAAACAATGGTAATCTACTGAGTGGTAGACTTTGAGCGTTTACTGGCTGGTGGACAAAACAGTTCATTTAGCACCCTGCCTGTGTACAGACAGGAGAACCAACTACTGTTTTTTCTCCAGCCACGCTGTCGCACGCGCATACGAGTAGGAGCCATTATACATTCCCCCCCACTTTTCTCCGGCTATTTCGTAGTTGGCTCATAACCGAGGTGGTTTACTATGAGTGACTAGTGAATCAGTCACACTCTCCGCATCTGAATTAGCCTAAATAAAGGGTTGAAATGCGGACAAAAATCATGCAGCCTATAGAAAACATGCGACAGAAGGCAAAGCTAAGTTAAGGGAGAAAAAGAAGAGTTTGCTCCAAAGTGCCTCAATATTAGGCTACAGGCTTTTCTTTTGTGCTGCTGTTACTTATAGCCTACCTGAAGACAGTACTGAGGACGTCTGCAGCAGGGTGGGTAGTGACTTGTTACAAGTAGCCTAATGCAAATTAGCAAAATGACTAAATAAAGTCAGTACTCCAGTATTTTCTTTAGGCCAGTAATCTACATTTAATTTTGCTCTGCAGAGCAAACGTAGACTTCACACTGTAACATCTAAGTCTGATGATCACTGGATTGATTCTGATATATTATCAGTTTCCTGTTGTTGAAAAGAGCATCGCTTTCTTTTGATGGATGTTCGCCTGTTTCTTTTCACCTCATCATCATCAGTTACTATGTGTTTTATAGCGCTGTCCGACGGTGAGTCCATAAACAGAAGCTCGCCGGTGAAACTAATCTTGGCTTTCACTCAGCAGCTACCAGCTGTTATTTATTCAGGAAACAATCATTTTGAGATGCACAGAGAGAGCAAGAGAAAGTCTGGGTGGATAAAACAGTCCTGTTGGGCTTTACGCATGACGCACAGCTTCCTTGATGCAGGCTTACCTGCTTCAACAACGAGCTCCCGAGTTTCTGCCACAATAATTATCTGTGTTGTAAAGATTATTTAGATGCTTTAGGAATAATCAGATTGTATTGGCTGCCTGTGTTATTGCAAAGCAAGCGGCTTGGTTGGTTATATGTCCATAATAAAAGATACAGGCAACAATAGTGGCTGGGCAGCAAAGTGATCTGATCAATACGTTCATAGAGATTTATAAAGGAAAATGAATGTTTTAAACTTGCCAAATTACAGTAATAAAGAAGCAAAGCAAACTGCATTCCCTTGAAAAATAACCATGGTGCACAGCAGATGAAATACATATTTAAATATATAGTAGATTGAGTAATTGTACTTTTTCTTGAGTGAAGATTGTTAGTACTCTACCAGCCTAGTACTCTACTTTATGTTCAGATCCTCCACAGGACAGAGAGAGGCCCCTGATAACAAGCTAGTTTCAATATCAGGTTCTGGCCTACCTCAGTATCAGAAGTCTAACTCCAGACTTTCCTTGCCGTCCCCCGTTTCTCATCAGGGAGTAGAGTATTCAAACACAACCTGGAACGAGTTCCTAAACTCCAGATCTAGAGAATAAGACCAGTGTGGCCCTCGGCTCAGTGTGTGGCAGTGTGGAAGAACCTTACCTTGCAGCAGGAGGAGGAGGAGAGGAAAAATAATCTTTGAGATTCTTTACTCAAAGTGTCTTTTATTAAAGTACAATCAGCAAAAAAGAAAAGAACAGAGCAAAACAGCGTCGACCGGAGTTCTGCTTTTTCAAAATACCAGAAACTGCAACTTATATACAGACACAGACAGGATGTGACAGAACAGCTCATGATGTATATTTGCTGATTGGTTGATCTCTAATGCAGATGAGCTATGATGTCTGTTATCACACCAAACATGGTACACATGAACACAGAAGATATCTGCCCGCCTGTTTCTGTAAGTGCATTCTTTTCACTTCTCTTAAAGTTGTAAGAGTTCAATGATAAACTAGAAAGTTTGCATTTCCAGCGGAAGGTGTGTATGAATGATGAAGCTGAAACGAAATGCAAAAGAGTTTAATTCACAGACAGACAGACAGGAAGTTGAGGGGGAGACAGACAGACAGACAGACAGACAGAAAGACAG